GGTTTAAGTAAGGCAACATGGAGCGATACTTGTGAATCTTTCGACTTAGCGCATTTGAAACCGTGCAAGCAGGTGCAGAAAAGGAAAAAGAAAACAGAGACTGTGTAAGAAAGAGGTGTTTCTGATGACTGAATAGATCTGTTGGAAATAAAACGTTTAGAAAAGTACAGATAAACGTAAAATAAATGTATGATAGATGATACAAGCGCGGATAGCACAAACACATTTTGACAATCTCTCTGTGCATGTACGATATTTTCGCGGGATACTAGATTACATCGAAATTTGTTAACTTTTTCACTCACTATCGTAGTAGTAGCAGACACGCTTCTTGCTGTGTGGTAACGTTGACATTTTCACCGATTTTTTTCCACTTAATGATAAAATATCTGATATGAATTAAACGCGGACCGCGGAGTGTCGCGGCACCCACCGACAGGACACAGCGTCACTACAGATCTTAACTACGCGTGCGCAATATTCTATAATCAAGCTTTTCAATTTGTCACATAGATGGCAGTACGTTTGGAAAAAAGGAAAGAAAGAAATAGGAAAAGACATGGAAAAAAAAAGGAAAGAAAAAGATGAACTTAACCATAAAACGAGTGACGTTAAGAATAGATACGCGCTTACTAAAATTATGCTAGAATTATTAAAATTTATTTCAGAAAGAGATAAAGTTTAAAAGTTATAATAAAAATTAAGGGTTACAGAAAGAGAAACAGAAACGCATGTATGCATATGTACAGATAAAAGTCATAGTTTGTATCATGAGCATATAAATAAATTTATAAGTATTATATATACGTATATGATACTCATATTAATAATATATACGTTAATTCGAGAGGATTTGAAAAAGTATGATGAAATTGAAATAAATGTACAATTCTAAAAATCCTTCATTTTAGTCTGAACCATGAAGTAAAAAGCAATTGAAGTATTAAGAATATCACAAATAAACATAACTTCGGTAATTTGGTTAACAATTGTATATAATTGGTTGGATAAAATTACAAAGAAGTATATGTTTTTAATCTAGTTCTATGCTTAAATTTTATTCTTTATACATATATACACATACAAATATTCATGTACACATATACACATATCATCTATGTACAAAACAATTATAACACAAATATATACAGAAATAAATCTTTTATTTCAAAGCATTTGGCACAACACTGCCTTACATCGTCGTTTGCGTAAAGAGAGACGTCGCGTTAGAATAAAAAATCACAAAAGTAGATAAAGAAAATTTCAACGATTTACTAAAATATTAGAGTAAGAGGCGCATTTTTTGTATTCTCGTTTGCCAAAGAATATATACATACTTTGCAATGCTTCTACCTTGAAAAGATCTACATACATACGTAGGTATTGCAACGCAATTGTATTGTATAAAAAGGAGTAACGCAGTATCAAAAGAAATTTAACGTGTACACAAAAAAAAAGGCATCGTTTTGGGTAAATGCAGCAGTATCGATTTTGGCAGTATGATTTTCAGCATTCCAAATTAATCGCTTGATTAATTACAATATTAATATATATTCATGAAACATTTAAAATTTGACAATAATACAATTAAACGAATGTGTCTATAATAAATGCATACCGAGTAATGGAAATAGTCGTATTTGTTACAACGAACATATTGACATCCCATCTCCCCTTTCTTCAAGATGAAAGAAAGTGTTAAATAATTCGATGTAAACTTGCAGCAGCTTCAAGCAACGTGTCTCTAACATGTTTCGTTTCAAGAATAAAATCTCTATTATCCATCTCGTAAGTAATGTCGTTTCTTATCTTACCTTAAACAAACGTCCGAATCATATTTAGGTAATGTATTTGTACAAACTTTTCCGTATACCTTTGAAAAAATATTACATTTATAATTTAGTTATAAATGGACTATTTAGACCGATATCTTTTTCTCGTAGATAGAACATTTGATGTTAATGATCCAAGATTAGTTCTGATAAGTAACAATCGACGATGAAACAATCAGAAGTTTTAATCGAAATAGGACCTTACCTCTAAATTAAAGAAGAAATAGCAGACAAACTGGATTTTGGCAGTGGCATTGTGCATCGATATTTAAAATAAATTGAGATGGCATTGAGTCTTTCTTGTAAAATGAGTTACATATAATCAGTGCTGAACTTCACGAACTGCACTTTAGGAACGAGCATTTTTAGACCATTGCGAGGATTGGCAAAACACTGTTATCCACAATTCCTTAATCGAATTGTTATTGATAATGAAACATAGATTTCACGTGTCAATACTAAACGTAAATGACGATGATGGTTACCATATTAAAAATCTACGCGTTCTCGTAGATTTTCACGTAACAAAGATATCAATCACTGTGCGTATAATATTTAGATATTAGACATAAGACATATTTCATTTTGTACTTTTAAATGAAGATCAGACTATAGAAATAAATATGTATAACTAATAACATGATCATCTTTATGCTAGCTCAGTGGTGAAAGGACGATAATTAGTAAGATCACAAAGTAATGCCATCTCAATAATGATAATAATAGAAGATAGATCACGTACGATAAAGGCAATTTTGAAAAAATTGAAAATGAGAAGTTTAAACGAAGAATTTATATCGCATCTAACATATTCTTCTGATCATGCATAAAACGATTACCATTTATTCTAATCATTGCAACAATATTTAATCAAAGATTCGACTATACCGGGCAATTGGAATTAGTAAAGTGTGACTTCTTAAATACAACATTCAAATTGAATTCAAATGTTTTAAAAAAGTAATACAAATGTCATTTGAAAATAACGAATGATTACCGAAAACGAAAGTGGTCGATATATCGATGATTGAAAAATATTTGACACCGAAAGCTAGCACCAAGAAACTACATTATTCATGGGATGTCAATTCCTGTTCTACGATGATTATGATGATTACGACAATAGCAATAATGTATGAAACAAAGATGCATAAGGAATATATGTGCACGGAATATACACAATATTGATAATAAACAGTATTGCGAAAATAATTAGAAAATAAATATCGATCATTAATTAATGAATGAAAAGATTTTTCGATGAACGAACGAAATACCGATAAAGCTGCCGAAAACGGCAACGCAACCTTGTTTCAAGGAACAGTGCCGCTGCAAAATAAATTCTACAGACGCACATACACCATAAGTGTATTTTCAGTAAGTAAGTCATATTTTAATAAGTAAACGGCACTATCATCGTATGTTTGCCACGAAAATTTTATCGACGAAATCAATGTGCACTTATATACGCATTTAATCAGCGTAATATACGTAACGATCATCGAATTTAATACGTGAATATACATTAAATAAATTCTACGATTCGTGAAATGAAGAATAGACGAATAAAAAGAATCCCCTCCCCCCTCGATCAGGGACAATGTTAGAGCTATTTAAGCAAAGACGTATGCGTTTATCGAAGACAAGATAAAGCAAAGAAAACCGATGATGTTGTACGTTGTACCAATTCGCACGCATACCTTTCTTATCATTGCTTGTTGTTTTGCCAGTAAAAGCTAGAAATGTAGAAGCGTAGATCCCTTGTTTCCCTTTCTCTGTCTGTTTGTATGTTTGTTTCATAGGGAAAAGAATTTAAGGAAAGTTTGCGGAGGAATTGGAACATGAAGAGATGCTCGATCCACGTCTGCCAGTTTCTCCTGAAAGGCTGGATCTTGATCAGCGATACAGGGATGTCCAAGCGATCGCCAGAACAGACAGCGGCAATTGCGGCACAAGTGAATTATCTCTGCGTATTCTTCTCGCAAACCAAACGACCTATAAACGATTCATTAGCATCGATTTGTTTCGTGAATAGATAATAAAATGATCAGATGATACAGATCTGGGGCTAATAAGAATGGCGAATGAAAGCTCGTGGCATTTTAAGAAAGGCTACTGTCTACCTTCGTGCAATAGTGAATATAGTCTTCCAGTCTTTTCCAGGATTGCGTTGTCTAGTAGAGGCTATTTGCTGGGGCGTGAAATGATATTGGGCAAGTTCCCGCCAAATTCTTTGTTCCTGCGCGAGAATAGCTAGATGTTCACAAGCCTCCGAGGACGCCTCGATATCTCGTGGGTCACTGAGACGAAGCAGAACCTCCCGACGACATTCTGCGGGTAAATCCGACCACTGTGGCTGCTGTTCCTCGTCCGGCTAAAATCGAAACAACAACAACAAAGACCGGACGGTAGTTTGTCACTCTTTGCCCTAACTACTTTGCTTTCCTACCTGAGTTATGGTGATGGAAGAGGCAATTTGCAATATTCTCTCTAGGGCGGCTTTGTGTTTCTCCCACAAAATTACCGAACCCAATGGTCTACCGCCCCAACAACAACCCGTGCTAAAAGCTCGCACTCTTTCAATTAACCGACGAAGTTTTCCGGTTTGCTGCTGCGATAACGACACTGGCGAGCATATCGTAAGAACACGTATAAAAAACCACGTAAACGCGATCGACATATTATTTGGAATGGTCTTTACCTTCTAACGCCACTTCTTCCAACATATTGAAGAGAACCCGTTGAGCGCATCCACTGAGACCGCCCATCCTGTGACTGACCAGAAGATCCAACAATCGCACAATGTAATTGAAACGCCGGCAATCATGTACCGCGGATAAAAAGTCCAGCCTTTTCAGTGCATCGCTTAAACCGTTGAAACCGGCGATCTACGAATTTAGAGAAACACGCGTAGCCATGATTTTTCCTTTCTACGCTTAATCGTGTCTAGATATGGTGGGCACACACCCTAGTCGTGATCGTGATTTAACCCTAACAATAAATGTCGTTTGCAACAGATCTTGAAAGGAAAAGTCGATCGTTAATAGTCTCTTTCTTCCTTCTTATCCTTTTATCTTCTTTCTCCGTTGAATTTCATTTTATTTTTAAATCTCTTCTTTCTCCTCTTTTCCCCGACCCTATTTTCCATTGATTCTTTCTTTCTTATCGAACAAATACCATTTCTTCCCCCTTTCATGTGACTAAAGGTTAAATATAAGCATGGATGGAACGAGTCACTCACCTCACGGGTACATTTCAGCGTGATGCGGCAATGCGGCTGGACGGCGTTTTCTAAAATTATATATGGAAACAAAAAATTAACCGAAAAAAATACAAACGATGATCGCTCACTTCCCTGAGCGTCTCCGTATCATCGGGTAGCGTTTCAGTTTTTATTATTTTAATCGTGCGCCACATATATGATAAAATGACAATAGAAACGTCGAAAATGTGGCAAACATACTACTCACCTTTCTTTTTATCCTTCTCCTTTTTGTCAAGCGCATCCTTATCGCCGCTGTAAAAAATAAAATGGAACGATAATACAACTGTTATCTTCTTTAATACTACTATCTTGGGATCGATCGAATTCACCGCTGTCGATTTTTTCTTTCGTTACATGTGGGGGGACAAAGAAAAAGAAAATAAAGGAAGCGCAATTTTTTGTCAACAATTTTGATTGAGACTCGATCTTGGGTCAAAGCCTATCTTGAATGAAAAACGCAATGAGTTTCCTTCGTTTTTGTACACAAACCACCCACGTAGTGCAAGCAGTGATCTCAGGGTGAACGGTTTTACTCCAATTATCGTGTATGCATCTAAGAGAGAGAGAGAGAGAGAATTCGTGAGAAATTGGTTCCTACGAAATGTCCAAACCTAGCCCTTTGAACGTGTAATATACCGTTATTTGAAACAACGGAGGAGCTCGGTGAAACGACCAAGTCTTTGAATTGCGATGATACAGGATGATCGAGAAAGACCTTGCGGTAATGTGCTTACGCGACGCGGGAGGAGAAACCCTGCGCCATTAATCCGTAACATTATTATATAACCATCGGTGATACTTGGGTTGTAAAACGAATGCGAGTTATTCTACATATCCCGCTGTTTCTTAGTTACAAGAGAAAAATCCAAAGTTCCTATCGTAATTACTCCGTTTATACGCATCGAAAGGAATTTACAAGCTCTTTGAACTTATGTAGCGACAAAGAATGTTAAAACATGCAGAGGATTTTCAAGAAATATCGAAGCGGTTACTCTCTTATTGTGTATGTGTTTGCACGTGTGCGCGCGTATGTATGCCTGTGATCGTAAACAATGGATAATCGACGAAACTATAGAAAACAGAGTAAAACGATTTATTTCGAGCTATACGAATTTTCTTTCTCTTTTTTTCGATACCTTTCGACATCCAAATAATAGGCAGATTCCCCAGGTTGAAATGTTTTTCATATACAGACACGAGCTGTTGGTGAAAAAGTTGCAAATCGAATGTATTGGAAGGACTCGATGATGCGAGAGATTTGCAGAATTGGTACATATCGTGTTAGCTAGGTCACGACCTACTTCAACACGAGCACGAACGACAGCTTTCAATTGTATCGATATTTTGATCTTTTTATAATTTCGGAAATTTCTTCCTCTAACTTACTATTACTTTGGCACGTTCGTGACAAAGATAGCAAAGTACTAATTTCTCTTGGTTCTTTTATAGACATCGTAAACCATTATTCGAGCAACCATGATTGACAACGAACACATTTCACGAGTGAAAGCCAAGATTTTATGCGTTAAATTGTCTAACAAATGCAATCCGCTTCTCTCGTGAAGCGCGCGAAAGTGTAACTCGCTCTCTCGTTTATACTTTGCGTTTTGACATGAGCTATCACGGTTTTGTAAGGCTAATAGTAATAAAATAACGCTAATAATAAAGTTGACACGCGAACAAATGTAAGAATGCGATGAAACTCGTCGTAAGTATGTGTATCGAGTTAAAAAGAAGACGTTGGAACGCGCACGTATCTATGCATTAAGCACATACACACGCGTATGTACGTACATATATATTTTCGTGTCCATGGCATAGCGAATAAGCAGTTATACACGCACGCAATTATCTACCGTTCACTGAAAGTTCGATGCTTTGTCGATTCATTGTTATAAACAATCGGGAGGGCTTTAGTAGAAGACAAATTTTTTGTTTTCCCTCGTCAGAAAAATTGTACCGTTTCGGAATGAAGTAAGAATACGCGACAAAGAACAACACGGATAGACTATTTTTAGCACTACGTTTGTACTAAGAAGTTTAATAAAACGAACAAGCAACTTAGAAACTTCCATATCGAGTTAAGAAATTTTCATTCCACTGTTTCTTTTATATTTACTTGATGCTAAGACGATATTTATCATGAAACATTGAACCGATACGAATCGCTTTCGAAATGTTACACGTAAATGATTGGAAATGATATTAAATAGTTATCAGTCACACGCAACAGAATATTATATACAAAGCTACTGCCAGATATGAAAGCGTCGTTTAAAATTCCATCGATTCCGTTACATATAATTAGAAAAGTATTCACAACAGCTAGTATGTATTAAATGTGACATGGAGATGTTTCTTAGAAAATTAAAAAATTGATCAAAATTCGGTTTCCATGCTACCAAATCATTCTTTGTCTCTTATTAATTTCGTTCGCGTTAAACTGTTAAGTGTTTATCTAACGGTAAATGTAACGAATAATAGACGAGTTCGCAAGGATAAACAAACCAAGAACTGTCATTCGATCGATGTAACAGCTGTGAGATAGATGGAATATGTGAGAAATGATTGGTTGTGCGTCTTTGATATTATTCTATTAAACAAAGAATAACGTTGGAAATGCATGAATGGAGAAAAAAAACAAGAATTACTAATGACGTTACTTACCGAAGCAAGAGAGAAAGTGTTTTATTGTTAGCGCACTCGAGGATTTTTTTCTTTTCCCAACCCTCCACGGTTTTCACCCATTCTTCGCCAGGACTGCGCCAATCCTTTGATATGAACGGCATCGCTCGCAAGGTAATCGTACAGGACGGTTACTCTACTCGCGTATGCAAACCACAAGCGATTCTTCGTCTAACGATAAAATTATATTACGAACACACCTCACTGTACCACGGGCGTTCAATGTTTGCTCGTAAGACAATTTGGTCTGTTCGGTTTACTTCGCGGCTGCGATCGACCGCGCATGGCTTTGTTTTACTGACGTCACCTTGATATCAGCTGTGCAACTGACATGCACTCTCGACACACGCTCCGCCATCTTGAAATTTTTATCTTACGCATGCGCAATGAAATTTGTTCCAAAGGAGCGCCATATTCAGATGTTATACGATTCGAAAGATTAAAGTACCGCATAATAGTACTAATTTCGCATAATAATTTATTTTTCCTTTGCTTATATTGGTTTTATCAATTACAACGAAACTATCAACGAAACTATATATTTTTTTGTTTTATTAACTATCTGTAAAAATAAAATTATACAAACGTACATCGTAATGCATATGTTTCGATCGTACAAAAAAATTATATACCAGCATATATGAATCATGCTTATGTTACATTCATATTATTTACTTGCTCGTTTACTTCGGAAATAATATTTATGGGCACTGATTCTCCTTCTCCTTCTCCTTCTCCTTCTCCTTCTCCTTCTCCTTCTTCTTCTTTTTCTTCTTCTTCTTCTTCTTTTTCTTCTTTTTTTTCTTCTTCTTCTTCTTCTTCTGTTTCTGAATCCGTTGGTGGAAAATCTGGAACTACTATTGGAAAAGCATAACGTATAAATGTTAGCAATAATTTACCGATAATAATGTAATATTCATGATGCTATATTAATAAGAAATAATCAATTAATGATAAAAAAAATAATACGAGAATTACCATGTCTATTCAATTTCTCTTCTTTCGCGTCTATAAGGAATTTTTCTTGCGTTGATATAATTTCTTCCGCACTTGTACAAAGTGAATATTTTTTTAATAATTCGTCATTTAATTTTAAAAACGAGTGGCCCCAGGAAAATTTTCCGAGGTAAAACTTTGCTTCCTCGGGAAAACCTGTTATAATTAAAGTAGCAGCTATAGCTTCTACGCAACTTAACTGACAAGGTTTGCCATAATTTATTGGATTCGCAGCAACTAGAAACGGTAAAAGACGAGGATTGGGAGTTCTCATTCTACTAAATGGAGTATCTTCCAAACGTGCCCAACTACAATCGACGACTGCACAACCATAATTTTGTACGATATCTCGATCTGTTGGACTAACACACTACAACATGATATTTCAATTTGGGGTATCAAAAATGAATTCATTTTATGTATTTTACTAAAGGTATTCCATACCTTTTGACCAATTGGAGTAAGAACTAATCCGGAAAATCGAGCTCCTAACCTTAATATTTTCACTAAACCATGTCTAACCAATTTTCTACCGGAACACTTTTTAGGATCGCAATGCTCAAGATCCCACATAGCGATAGGGAAAAAACAGTCGAATCTATTTCCAAGTTCTTTATATAACCAAACATTTCATTCTAACCTGACACCTCATCTTCCTTATCCGATTTATCCCTTTCTTGACGATATCTTTCTTCTTTGCCAATAACATGTCGAGGTCGCCTCGTTAGTATTCGCTTTTTATTTCTCTTCCCGTGAGACGACATTTACAAAGTTTTAAAATGTTTCTTAATATAACGTCCCGTAAAAACACATAGACACGTGAAACAGATTTTCTCAATTTGAAGGTTACTTGTCAATAATGAATGTATTCAAAAGTCGTCGACAACTATATGTTGCAAGAACACACGTGCGTGCATATGCGTGGGTATGCAAACTTATTTTTAACAAAATGCTATATTTTATGACGCATAAAAATACTTGAATGTAATAATGTTATGTCATACAAACTTTCCTAACAACAAACAGTAGTTGTTTATTCTGAAATATTTTATTTACAATATTTCTTCATTTACCAATATGTTCATACATATTTCTAATCAAATATTCATGTATTATTTATCATCATAAATATTAAACTAAATTTATATATAATTATTGTTTAATAAAAGTAGAAAAGTTAAAATTATTGTAATTACTTATATGTATATATAAGACTATAAAAGTACCACTACGTTCAGACGGCCCTGGGACACTGTTAGAGTGGATAACAAGTGGCTGTTCTGTTCTCAATCACTCCGCGGAACACAAATCGTTCATTGAATTAGGTATTCTTTAAACATGTGTTTAAAGACAATTTGATTCGAATGGAAATGTCTAATTCAATCTTACATTACTCTTAAATTCAAGGTAGGTATTGATTTGTACCACTTTACGTGTTAGTTTTTATATTTCATATTGATACGCATTATTAAAATTATTATTTCGCAATCGTGTATAAAAACAGTGACTAGTTAATGCGTTTTTGTACAATTGAATATTTCCAGTTTTTTATTTGATGTTAATATTTATACTGTTCACGCCGCTTAAAGGACATGGATCCAGGTATTTTATTGAAGAAAATATATCGTTTGTTATTTTATAACGCTTTCGTATGCATATACAATGTTTAAATGTTTCAATTATCATTAATTATAAAATTAGGGTTTAGGATATTTGTAATAAATTTTTTCATATCACTACTATGTAACATATGGATATTGTTAAGATTTTATAAATATGCGATAGATTTTTTCCATTTTCTTGTAATATGCTAATTTATAAATGACAGTTAAATATATTACATGTTAATTTATTTTAAATATTATTATATCTTATGAATTGTTTAATAACTACTGGTTATATTTTACAAGAAAACACAAGGAAAGAAACAATTGTAAAGTTAACAGATTGGTTGCGTGGAATTTGGGAGATGAGACGTCAAACTGGTCCTGTACAACAATGGATAGATTCAATACCATCACCAATAAAATCCAATTTTTCAACAAAAAATGAAAATCAAGGAGAATCAAATAAAAAATGTAGTACTCCATTGGCTTCGACAGAGCCTAAGGATATTCCATATTCTATAGGATCAAAACAGATAACTATGACTGTATCTGCACCTATTAATGTTCCTAATGTAACTCCGATTAATACAACAAGTTTACCTAGGTATCATATCACAAAATAAGAAAAAAAAAGAAAAAAAAAACAGAAATAAGCAATATTTTGTATATGTAATTAAGGAAACGCCTATGTATGTGTAATTATATTTTTATATTTCATATATAGCTCATTAACTCATAAATTGGTTCGAGATCCAAGCTTGCAATCTGACAGCAGTCATTGCAGCAGCGTGGAAAGCTTATTAGAATTAAGAAAAGCAGACCCAGAAGCAATTTTACTTGGCCTTGGATTTGGTGGTTGTTCAAGTAGTCCGCAAGAAAATGGTTCCTTTTCTCGCATACCAAAAAGGTTTCTGCAGCCATCAAAGTTGAAGGGTATAGCCATTAATGATTTTATGAAGCAGCAGCAAGAGACTAGCGAATCTTTTGATTCTGTATCTTTAGGATATAGAGGTTTGACAGGTGAGATATATATAAAAAATTAATAAGTATGATAAACATGCAATAGAACATTAAATGAAGAATAAAATATAATTTAAAAGTTTTTACACTTTAATTTACAACAATTGAAATAAAGATATAAATTGAATGTTGTAGATAAATTATTATAAATTACAAATAAATTTGTATTATACAAATAGTAATGTTATAGGAAGTGATGACACTATATTTGTGTCTAGACATTACCCGCATCGCAGACATTCTGGACCAATTAATTTTGTAAGTCTTATGACAGTTAGGATTTCCAAATTTTTCTTGATTTTAAAGCAATTTTTGTTTCAAGTGTTTGAGGTTTTAATTTGTAGTAGACAGGGAAAAAGAAAAAAAAGAGAGAATTGTTTTGTTCATTTTCTTAATATGCTTAATTACCTCTGCTTATGAATATGTATACATATATTTTGTTCTTTTTAAATATCTTGATTTTTGCTATAAATAACGAGTAAATAGAACTTGCATGAAACATTTATTATGTTTGTGAAAATATTTAATGTTTGATATAAATATATAGCTATTTTTGTATTATAAATAAAGTAATTGTAATTATTTACGTGAAGTATAGCAATAAATACTAATTAAGTATAACAAATTTATTAAATATCATTAAATATTTTTAAGTTGTAGGATGTTCATTCATGAAAATAAAGTTACATATTTTTTATAATTTACACACTATATATTTTCATAAATTGTTGTTGTTTTTGTTTACAGATAATTCTAATATTATGTTTATTTGTTGTTAGCATGTAATGACGATATTTACTTGCTAAGAAATTTTAAATCTTTTTTTTTTCCCCTATGTGAAAGGCTCACCGTACGTAGCACCATCGGAGATCGTACAAAAAATTATGCAACGTTTACGAGAGCATGAAAGTCATGAACATGATCCATATGCAATATACAATTCGTATGATCAATACAGCCCGTTACACTGTAGTGGTACTCTTTCTGTGCTGTCTCCTAATAGTAGACAATTTTTGGAACGACCACGTTCAAAAAGCCCCGACATGCGTAATAAACGTATGATTATTGGTAAGAATCATGTTCCATCTGTTCACTTGTTAAATACTTTTCAAACAGACTCGTCTATTATATTTTTGGAAAATGTAATGTTGAACATCGAACATTGAACATTAAACATTAAATACTTTTAGGACAAAAGTCTTTCGCGTTTGGACACGATGGTGACCTAATCGAAATCGATCCGCCTAACGTAAAAAGATCATTCGAAGATACTTCAAGCAATGATTTGAACATTACAAAGAATTCACAAGTATTTAATAATTTAGCAGATAACGATGATAAAATAGTCGAGCAAGTATCTATTGAGGGAATAGGAAAAGTATTACCAAAGCGATTATCTTTCGACAATAGCACGGAACTTAATGATATCGATGTTAATTTATCGATACAAGCGCCTAAAGAAAATTTATATGAGAAAAATGAAACCTTGTACAAATATATCGATTACGAAAACATTTCTCAAAATGCAATTTTACCAAATGTGTCTGACACTCGAAGAGCTAGTGACGGATTCTGTGATATGAAAGATGGACAAATTTTATCAGTGGTAAATAAACGAAGACACAGCGATGGTTTTGTGCAAACTACCGAATACAATAACGATACTATTTTAGCTCGAAAAAGAAAGACTTTGAAGCGTCAAAGTAGAATAAGCGATGCAGATGCGACAAATTATTGCAGTTTAAATTTTTGTAAGCCTGATACAGCACAATGCAAAGAATTGGTATATGATGTTTGCACGAAAAGTAACGTTTCCGCCAAATTGATTGTAAATGTTAATGAAACAACAAGAATAGATGGTGAAACTAAAAAGTATAATGTAACAAAATGTTCACAGATGTTTCCCAAAGAAACACATAACTGTATAGAATCAACAAACGATAATTTGAATAAAGAAAAACAAGATAACGAATGTTGTATCGAAGATATTCAATCAGTAGGGCAAATGTGTATAGATGAAGAAGAAAGGGCAACTTGTTGTTGTCATTCTGGTACTAAGAAATATTGGAAGAAAATGGAAAAAATTATTCAAGAAAATAAAAATTTGGAAAGCATGGTAACAAAAAGTAGAAAAGAAATGGCAGAAATTCGGGAAATGTTGAACAGTGTATTGTCCGTGCGGTTAGAACCTGGTTTTTAACGTAAATTATATTAGAAATGAGAAAATGCTATATTCTAGCTAATATGATGTTAGAACATTTAATGGCCTTAAATTAATATCGACTACGTGTTTTTAAAATTACTTCGTGTACTTTGGACAAATAATCCTTTTGAATGTATCTTTCAAGCATCATACTATATTTAAGAAAAGTGAAAATTATCACACAAGATAATAAGTATATCATAAAAAATATCAATGCTGTAAAACTGCATTTTTGTTCAAAATAATTATATTTTCTTTTGTTGTCAATTTAAAATAAAGATGTAAATATTTTGTTATAATTTAAAATTTTTATTTCTTAGTAAATATTATGGATAATCTAATGTCCGTTTATCTCATATATTTACAGATAACGTATATGGTTGGTTCCATTGCTACGAAATAATTTTAATGTTTTATTATGTTTGAAAACTATAGCTATTGCGTTATTATTTTCTTGTTCCTATCCTTATAACATGCTACATGTTTGTTTAATGTTGAGATTTTCAGTTTAATTTTATGTCAATATATAAATTATTCTATCGTTCAATCGTACATGATATACATGTATACATTATATCGTAACAATGACGATTGAAATAATTTTTAATGATTCTTCATTTCATACTTAACATTTCAAAAATTGTACCAACCGTAAACAATGGATTTTTGTAGTGAATAGTAAAAAGATTTGAAATTCTAGTCCCATACATTTTTGCGTTAATAACGTGCTTTGACTTTCATAAACAAAAAAGTGAAAGATAAAAATAATTAATAATAGCAGTAGTGGTAGTGGAGAAGTAGCAGTAGTAGTAGTAGTAGTAGTAGTAGTAGTAGTAGTAGTAGTAGTAGTAGTAGTAACAATAGTAGTAGTAATGATGGTGGTGGTAATAATGATAATAATAATAAACAGATCCATCCTCGATTGAGAAAATAAAAAGTAAAGATTCGCTAAATTTTGATAAAACGTATGCTTAACATATTTTCTTTATGTAAATTAATTTTGAAATAATTTATGATTTATAAATAAAAATTAGTATTATATTCGTGAATCTTAAAAAAAAACAACAACATCGACAATAATAATAACAAAAAGAAAAAAAAAACAGAAAAAGGAACACGGTTATTCTCTGTTTAAGAATTCTTATGCACTATTCAAATTTACCTTTCTCTAAACATTTCTTCGTATTTAAATATACGTATGTTTGTTCAATCACCAATATATGATATATTCTAAAGAGGCAAAGGCTTTTTTAAAATTTTGTATATAATGAAAAAAAAAGTTACTATGAATGATTACTTTTATAGAATTATAATTTTATAAATTCATTAATTAGCTTTCATTCTCAAATATTGTTTTTTATATATATATAATATATATTTTTAAAATTATATTTACGTATTATTAATTAAAACATTTAAAGTACAAATTAAAATGGAAGTTACAACAGGATTGATGTATATAGGTGTGTATATATAAATAATATAAAAAAATATACATATATATATATATATATATATACACACACACACATACACACGTATTTATTTTTATTTGATGTATTATTTAATGTTTAAATCGTTAAACTTGTAACGAAAGTTATATTCCATATCATGTGTCTACATTCCAATAAATTTGATGTATACAAATTATACAAACAGGACAGGAGCTTTGTAGAAAATATGAAATGTACAAATAATATAGGAATATTGAATAAATATTTGACACGATTAATTTTTACTTTCTCTCTCTCTCTCTCTCTCTCTCTCTCTCTCTCTCTCTCTCTCTCGCGCGTTCTTTTTCTCCTTTTTTCATGTATGTGAAACACAATTTTTATCTATAAAGCTAGATCGAACATGACATACCACCGAGCATGATTGATGACAGTACAGTCACAATTAATTTCTTATTCACACTGTTGCTACTAACATAAATTCATTATACACAATATTTATAGCCATGAAAACTTTGAGATTAAAATAGAGAATAAAAAAAAAAGAAAAAAAAGAAAAAAAAGAAAAAAAAGAAAAAAAAGAAAAAAAAAGAAAAAAAAAGAAACAATATGATTTTTCCAATGAATTTATACGACAATAGGAACGTAAAACCACAACGGTAACTGACACTGATTCATTTTCTATATCTATCTTTTTGTATTTCAACGACTAAACATAACATGGAAATCTAATTACTGAAGGTATTCTTATAACTGGACATCAGATTGTTAAGTGCAACAGAGGATCAAATGAATATTACAATCAATACTATGCGAATATTTTTATATCGATATTATCATTAAATGTAACGGAAATAATACGATAGCATTTTAAAAGTAACATGCAGTCAAATTAAGAAACTTTAGACTTTAGTCAAATTTATAAAACACAAAATATGAGTGGATATCGTACCTTTTAAGGAAACAATTGTTACAGATTTTTAGATAGCTTGATTGTTAATTGAAACAGATATAAGTGTTTTATAGAATTATCAATTATACATAAAGCTACCTTTAGTAAAGAACTGAGATCCATGGTCCACTCAATCTTATTTTTAAACACGAATCTGCTAGAATATCATTTTGTAAACTGCATCCATGTATTCATGTAATATGTCTGTGTAATGTTGATGTGTACCTGTGAATGTAGATGTATTCTTCCTTAGCATACCTTAAAATGTATATAAACAAATATGATCAAACATGATCTATATTTAGTCTTCTTTTTCTTCTCTGGAAAAAAAAAAAAACTATAAGAGAAGAAACCAATTATTACTGAACATTATTCTATGATTATGATGAAACAATAGTATACAAATAGAAAAAAGAAATAAGAAAAGAAGAAAAGATAATGGAAGAAAGCATACTTTACAACTTCCTGTTGCTGTTGATCGAGGCGAAGTTCAACAATTGTTTCAGTTCTACTTTGCACTTTGAAAGTAACTTGTGCAGCCAAATATTTATCTTTATTATTTACTGACCATCCAGAATACTGTAAAAGCCGTAACACTTATTGAGAATAAAATGGGAAAAAGATGCATAGATTTGGTAATAAAATCAATAACTGCATTGTAAGGCCTACCGTCGATGTACTTTTATACAATGTCTTTCCATCCTCTTTGAAGGGTAAAAATTTTTGTAGTAATGCTTTTCCATCTATCCTCCACAATGTTGGATCCGTATTCCCACCAATATCAGCTTTTGCAACAACGAATGCACCAGACTGCAACAATCGATGGAATAAAGATTGTACTCTTGTTATGACGAAAAGACAAAGACTCAAAATTTCATGTACAACTCACAGTAAAATCTTTTGGCGTTTCTCCCGATGATTCGTTAAAGCTATTATCATCAGAATCTTCATCTTCATCTTCTTTTTCGTCTTCATCTTTCTTGGACCGCCTTTTTCTTTTAGGTTTCTTTCCTGTGTCTGAATCAGATTCCTCGTCCTCTTCATCATCCTCTTCATCTTCCTCTTCTTCTTCTTCATCTTCCTCTTCTTCCGAGTGTTGCCGCTTTTTAGCAGCTTCTCTTTGTGGTCTTTTTTTGGCAACGCTCTAAGGATTAACATTAATATTACGAAAATAATCGAAATTCAAAGGATACATTATGTTTCTTGATATTAATTACAAAAGTTATACACATTTACATGTATATAGTTTGTTTCCTATATTATTTATAGAGATAATTATACAAGTATATAAATTGTATAGGGCGAAAATAATTTTGCAAAATGAAAACAGATAATAATGTCTTTGCATTGAAGTATAAAAAAAAATTTAATAATGCGAAGCGCAAATGTAAGGACCGTAAAGAACGTAAAGTTGTACTGTTTTGAAATATATATTGACCGGCGTCACAAACCGGCCGGCAATGATTTCTCGTCGACTGTAATAGTATTTCCAAGGATAAGCGATTTCTTAAGTATATAATAAAAAGTAAAATTTAACGGCGCGCGTTTTACTTATATTAAGAATTAAGGCTAATTTCCCGGTAAAATGCACGTTTATCGAGACATTTTGTTAGTAGCAATATATTTGCAAGATAGACCATATATATCGGGTAGCATGTTTGACACGCTACGACACATCACTACTACACATAACCGACGCAACTTGTATTTTCTCGTTATCATGGGGATTGATTGATTAAAAATTTTCCGACAATAATGAAAAATATGAAATTAATAGAAAGATACAAGCATATGTATAATCTCTTACCCAGAAATATTTGCTTTCATTGTTATTATTTGGATGAAAAATTTATAACGAACAAAAGTAAGAGTGACTATCTGACCGACAAAGCATTTTTTTTTCCTTTTTCGCGATGAACGACATACAAACATTTTCGCATATAACAAAATTGGTCGAATGTATAAGAGGAAAAGGAGGAATTAAAGTTCTCATCAAAAGATAAGAAAAATAGGTTCAAGACAGTAGTAAAGAAGAAGAAAGTATTAGTAGCGTGGGCTTACTTCGGCTCCGGCCTCGGGAGTCCACTCTTCTTCAGAGGCTCCTTCTACTTCTTCTGGATCATCCGCGGAATATTCGTCCTCGTCTGATACATCCTTAGTTTTCTTCATGTTGCTTTTTCGCGAAATGTTTGCAAACTTTCCCAATGGGGCTTATCGAAGAAGAGAAAAACCCACAAGATCACGTACGAGACAGACCAATTACGTGCGCGACTGCCGCAAACAATATGGCGGTATATAGCGGTGGGAATCGTCTTTTACGCATATCCTGCTGCGCAACCTGGAAGCGACGCGTACTTCGTAATTTCCTGCGCGTTCGTAGAAGCGCGAGACACGGAATTTTCCGTTGTCTATTTAAATCGTTTATAAGATTTTTGTATTATATTTACGAAATGCGGCAATATAAAGTAAAAGGTGCTATTATGAAATGGAGAAGAGAAAATAAATAAGGGAAATAGAAAAGAAATGTAAACGCGAGTGGGTGAAATAAGTTAAAGCTGAGAGTGTATATTGCTGTTGTATCGTGTATTGTCATTTAAATAGCAACTCTAGTTATTATGTTTATATGATTAATTGATTAGTTGCTTTTAATTTATATCGATTATTTCTTAGCATGTTAGCTGGAATTTGTCTGAATTTTAAAATGTTTTTCGAGTCGGATCGATACGAGGGTTCGCGCATGCGTTAATATTTCACAGAGTAGGACGCCCCTTTAGTATTTGCGGTGCTAAGAAGCGCATTGTTAGCGTAGCGAGTTAACGTTGAACGGTCGGGCGAAGAAGGTAAAAATGTTCGAGCTATACGGTGTGAGTAAAGACGGTATGGTTTATCGGTCCCCACCGCCAAGAAGGAAAGATGTAGATATATTAGAGGTAATTCAGCGAAGTTGGTTCATTTTATCGTTTACTTATTATAGATTATAGATTAGGTGCCACTAAGATCGGGAGTGCTGAATTTTCGATCGATACATTTGAGGATATTAAATTGTATATTCTGGTCGTTTACAATGCGTGTACCCTCATATCGCGCAATAAAGAATGAAGTTGCCGTTAGATGGATTGGTCGATTTCTATCGGAACATTCTAAATGAATAGTTAAGAGAGAATATTTCGAGAATGGAATAATTTCAATTGTCTGATAGATGAAGCGTTATCTTTTGTAGACTTGCTTGCAATTACCGTCCCCTGAACTAATGAGAAAACTGCCTAACGGTGATGCGATATATCATGGAAAAGATTCCGGCGTTTCCACTTCTTTGGATAAGAACAAAGAACCACCGAGGGAAAGCAGTGAGTGTTGAAGTAACAAACTTCTTTATATAGATCTAGTTGTGTAGACGCGACCACATGCGTAAACTGTAACCTTTCAAACATAATTCTTACGCGTATAATCGCGTTTATCGTTAGCAGAGAAAGGTGGTTTTTATAGTTGAAATAAAATGAACGAAGAGAAAATTGGAAGGTAAGAAACGATTAATTAAAGAATAATTTCGCTTCTTCACATTTTCGTCCCCTCACTTGCTCATTGTTTTCGAAAGATAGAATGGTCGAAGCGTAGAATACGTAGAAAGGATTAGTTGATAATAGCCAATTGTAGTATCGATAGGGGTTAGGTGAATCGACAGTTGAGCAGTTTGTCCATTATTTTTACGTTTGTATTCGTCGCTGACTAAAGAACGACGTAAAAGGAAGGTGTGTGGATACTGTGATACGCAGGACGGAGCGTGTTGAGGAAATGGATAGTGATGATTGGTTTCTTTTTCCTTGGATGTGCTCTGGTCGCCGGTGTTGGATTACCTTTGGCTTTAGAACTACGAAGCTCGCATTTATTGGAAGCTAGACTTCAAGTTGTACGACGAATGCTCTCGGAAATACCTTTGATCGACGGGTAAGAGATTATATCACGTAAACTGGATTGATCCGGACGGTTCAATGGAAAGGAGAGAATGTTTTCAGGCACAACGATTTCGCGTGGAATCTTCGAAAACATCGAGGAAGTACAAAGTTGAAAGACTTTCCTTTCGACGAGGATTTGTCGCGAAACGTAAGTTGGGGCTCTCGATGGCAAACCGATTTAGTACGTTTACGGCAAGGCATCGTCGGCGGCCAATTCTGGTCAGTGTACGTTCCGTGCGAGGCACAATTTCTCGACGCGGTACAGCTGACCCTGGAACAGATAGATATTGTGCGTCGGCTCGTCTTGAGATATCCGAAGAGAATAAGAATGGTAACGAGCAGTAAAGAGCTGGAGAAGGCGCATAAAGATGGCGTGATCGGAAGTTTAGTAGGAATCGAGGGTGGTCACAGTATTGGAACGTCGATGGCTGTGCTGAGAAGTTTTCATCGGCTAGGAGCAAGATACATGACCCTGACACACAAATGCAACACCCCGTGGTAAGTTCAAGTTTACCTTTACCTTTCTTTAGGTAAACTTTCTTTATTTAGTTTGTTTTATGTCGTAATACGATGCGTATAAACACGAATAGAAATACAAAAATACGAATACGGCAGATAAAGTAGGATCAATGCGTGTACTTACGTATAGACGCGTATACGCGTGTACGTTTGTTTACATAAGCGGTGAGAAACCATTTTGCCATTTGTTCACAGGGCGGATTCATGCTCCGTAGAAGATCCGAATTCGGTGGCGTCATTGGATTTCCACAGCGATGGGTTATCGATATTTGGCAAGGCGGTAGTAAAAGAGTTGAATCGATTAGGGATGTTCGTAGATTTGTCACACGTTTCGATAAGAACCATGAGGGATGCATTGACGATGAGTAAAGCACCGGTGATATTCTCTCACAGCGCAGCCAGAGCTCTCTGCAATTCGTCCAACAATGTTCCGGACGATATACTCCGTAATTTGGTGAGAGAGATTCTTTTCTTATCATTTTATATTCATGTACGTATATAGTTTTCGATAGTCCGTTTTACGTTGCATGTTGATAATAACGCGAATAAGGTTGATGCCTTATAATAAACACACGATGAAAATATATATAAGAAAGTAAGTTTCTTGTTTCAGTCGGTAAATGGTGGCCTGGTTATGGTGAGCTTCGACAGTGCGCATTTAAGCTGCGGTGATAAAGCTTCGATGTTCGACGTGATAGGTATGCGTACGTTGAATTCTATTTAAGGAGTGTTATTAAAGATAGTTTTGCACCGACTGCATAATAAAGAGAAAGCGAAAGAGAAAGAGAAAGAGAAAGAGAAAGAGAAAGAGAAAGAGAAAGAGATAGAGAAAAGAGAAGGAAAAGAAAAGGAATGAAACGAATTAAAGGTTGAATAGGTATTATAGGTTGAAGAGGTATAATAGAGGTATAATAGAGGTATAATAGATTTGTCTTTGCAGCTCATATCAATCACATAAGGCGAATAGCTGGTGTTAACCACGTGGGTCTTGGAGCTGGCTATGATGGTATATCGAGGTAAGCACGAATCTTGATACAAACATTGAACTTGGTATCGAATGACAGATTATTTTAAGATAACGCAATGAACACGCAATACTTTTGCAAATGTATTTAGTCCGCCAGTGGAACTTCCGGATGTTTCTGGTTATCCTTTGCTACTGGCCGAATTGACCAGAGATAGAAGATGGTCGGCGTTGGACATAAAGAAATTAGTGGGTGGAAATTTGTTGAGGGTATTGAAGGAAGTAGAGAATCACGCGATAACCATGTCGCATCAATCTCCGGCAGAGGAATTGATTCCTCAGGAGTTGATAGAGGATACTGCCTATTGTAGATATCACGATACCTAAAAACGATTTGACGTTGCAAAGTTAAGCGTTAATCGATCCTACACGGAACGTCGAGTCATCTGTACCTTATCGTTTTCTGTCTTTGTACCTGGATTACTTTGTTTTATATTTTTTAATAAAGCTAACTACGGATCGTCCGAATCATCGCTTCTTTTATTCCTTGTATTTTCGAGTTTGCCATTCGCGGTCCCGGGCTCCGATCCCCGTGTGCATATTTAGTAGTTTTTTCCAATCTATTTTTTATTTTGTATTCATTTTTCGCCTATGACAAAATTGTAAATAAAATTTCTTATTTCTTAATAAATAATGTATTTCTTTTCCACTTTCTTATGCTAGTATATATTTGTTAGAAAATAATAAGATTACTGTGCAAGAAAAACAGTTTTCTATAGCAATCTTATTTACTACAGTTGTTTCGTGAAAGAAGATAAGAAAATCTATTGCTCGCGTAAGTATTAATTACATGCTGACAAACTTTCTGACAACACCGGGACAAAAATGATTGGACAGATGATAAAAATTATAGTACAGATGAAACCGGGTACCAAACCAATCTTTGACAGAACTCTTAGAAATATTAAGAATATTTGATATAATTGTCGGATTAGTTTTCCTGATTGGTAACATGTTATAATGATGTTAATTCCTCTATTTTTTGTTATTGTATAATAATAATCGGTGTATTTGTAAGAAAGGAAGGAAAGGAAGGAAAGGAAGGAAAGGAAGGAAAGGAAGGAAAGGAAGGAAAGGATCCGTTCTCGCGAACCTAACCTACCGGATAGTTGTCGACGCGCATCATTATCGCAGAGTATCGTCGTCTACGTCGAAATTAGAAAGAAGATACGAAGGATCAGCAAAGAGCCAACGGGGGAGGGATTAGCATTCGACGTGTAGTTGGTTGTATCGAGGAGATAAAGCGTGATTGGATTCTCGAAAAGACATTGGATTACGAAAGCGAGAGAGACGAAAGGAAGGGAAGGCAACGAGGAAAAAGAGAATAGCACGATTCGTGCGGGAACAAAGTCCTCATGGGCTTTCTTTAGTTTTGCATTCGATAACGATTACCATTAATTATCGATTACCGGTGATTTAGTGCCGATTATCGATCATCCACGTACATTAACAAGCGGAATCTTCAACTTTTTAAAACGTGCTTTCATTGAACATGCTCTTGAATATACTTGAATAACTTGAATATATAAGGAAATGTTAATACGCATCGCTCTTTGCGACTGCAGGAATGTACACATTCGTGCGACATCCTAGTATAATTGGACGAAATATTCATTACGAAAAGGTAAATGCAAAAGGTAATGGCAAAAGTATGGATCGAACGTCAGGGGTAAAAGTTGAATTGCTGGATAACGAGCGTTCCGCCTGGTTCGCGATTTCTCGACCTCTGTCGTGTGACCTATTTCTCATCTCTCTCAGACGATTTCTCACAGCTAAAGTGGCAATCTCGAGAAATGGAGAAGTCGCGGAGGGCGGTGCATCATCGTGAGACCAAATGAAAGAAAGCCCGTATTAGAATGACGGAGAATCGATCACGGTCCGATTCAAAGCGGTGAGAATCCGTTGCTGGACGATGGTTTCGTGGCGGGGAAGTGGTAGGGGATTCGAAGATTATATTCATTGGTTCGTAAGTCGAAGCATCAGTTTAGTTTACTATCGGTTTCAAGACGTTTTCTTCTCTCCTTAAGGCGAGCTTCAACGCGTTTGAAAATGAAATAAGCTTCACGATCGTTGCAGTGTTGGGAAATTGGGAATCGGAAGTAAAAGAAGAAAAAAGGCAGGTGTGTAGCTTCGATTTCGATTTTCAGTGATCGCTTCTAAACTGACGATACTAAACTGGCAATAGGCTTATGGCAATAAACGGAGATGGAAAATTAAGATGGAAAACTATTCGAAGATTTAGTATGCGTATGTGAGGCAGATTCTACAGGGGGTATATAAGGAGGACAGGTGAGTATCGGAGTTCGTACGGCGGTTGATTCATCGTTAAATTCATCGCGTTTAATCGATGAACGCGAGTTTGAAAAAAACGATCTCGCGTAGCGAGATACAATGGTCGGTAGGAAATAGCCTTGGAGAATGAACTCGCGACCCTAGATCGTGAGCACATGTTTCGCGTAACACACAACACCTAGCCGCTCATTCCTCTTCCTTTTCTTTCCTCTTGCGAGAATTCATATTTTATACAATTCACAGGCGTGAACTGTATAATCTCACGGAAAATGAGGGTTCTCGAAAAAATAGTTGAGTTGATATATAGTTGATATATAGTTGATTTCGAACCAAGGAGAACGATATACTCTTGAACAGTCTTTACCTCTCTTTGTTTATCGAAAGGAAGGACAAAGAAGAGAAAAAAAAGCGAGAGATAAAAACGTTACCGCATCAGCGAGAAATCGTGTTGAAATTAACCGATTGCCAAGTGAAAACTTGGAGATGAAGATTCGTTATCGCGATATGCTTCGTATAAAAATACATGTTTCCAAAGATAGACCCCGTTGCGATGCAATTTAACTTACGCTAGTTTATTCTTACTTGTCCTTCGACTGTTCTTTGTTCCAGACGAAATTCAATCAAGCAAAGAAAGAAAAGCCAATGATGAAGTACAAGGTAAGGACAAGAATCTCTCTCTCTCTCTCGATGCTTATGTCATTTGTCATCTGCATTCGCGGGTACGTGCGTATTTTTTGGTTAATCTTGCTAATAAGAATAGTTGTTTACCAAATAGCGAAGAAATTTGAGCCGAGAGGAGTTTGTTACCGCGGTGTTAATTTTTTCCCCATTCTTTTTTTTCTTTCTCTTTAATCGCAGCACGAGTCACACGTGGATGGATTTCGTCGAACGAATTGATTGGAAAGATATAATCGTGGTAATAGTTGATGCATCGTCGGATCGCGAACAGAAACGAAGATCACGTTCACGGTATCATGTACATCCACGTTGCCACGTTTGCAAATATACGCGAACACGACCGCATGCTTCTTTCCGTATTATTTTCCTCTCATTACATAGTTGTTGCCACGATGATACTTAGTTGCATAGAACGCATTAGCGATACAAATATTTACCGTGAACGCGAAAATTGCCTCGAGCCCGTAGAGTTTGAGATTGAAAATTTCGATTAAGCTTATAGAATGATACGAGAGTTTTTCGTAAAATTTGTTTTTCTTCAAGATACTAATCGAGCCTTTTAAACGCGTGTTCCCGATGAATCCCGCCATCTGATTTTCCTTTCGATAATCGGTTCTTATTCGATCACTTACCCGAGTGATCTCGCTCGAATCATCGAATCCGAGCATCGAGCATCGAGCATCGAATCGTTCGTTCTGCTACTTCCGATATGCACGATACACGATGATTGATCATCGGATAAACGATAGGATGAAATTTAATGGAACACATTTGGATTGTTCGTTTATAATCGTTATTCGTTTCAAATGTCGCAGCATTTCGATATCAACGTAATTCTTATTGAATAGAGCTGTTATTATTCGTACATTACGGACATAAAGGCGATTCGTCAGCCTCTTCGTACTTACTTGTTCCTTCTTCTTTCTCAACAGGTAAACGATCCGGAGGCAACCGATCAGACGAATGCAGCGAATGAGTTGAAAAGCGATTCGATACTTTCGTGGTAATTGATATTTTATGCGTTGAGAAAGAACAAAATTGCCGAGTACGCGCGTGAACCTATTTGCGCGAACCTATGCGTTTCGATGGTAACGTAAAGGTCCTTTTAATTATTACCATGACAGGCATTACCATTCGAGAGGCGAGAAAAAGTTTGACGAGAAAGGAAGGAAATTAATCATAATCGTTGGTTTGTTGACGGTAATGGTGGTTGCGTTGCTCGTAACATTGACCGTTCAAGCAGCTATTTTCCGTAAGGACAGATACAAAGAGGTGTGTCAGAGCGAGGAATGCGTGAAGACAGGTACCGTAAAATCAAGGTTTTTCTATTCCTCGATTTCTCTCGAAGCAATTAGCCTTGCTAATTGCATTAGTAATCGAAACGCATAAATGTACGAGAGAACGTCAATTTCAATTATCCTTGCATAGAAATAATTTATATTCGTGCTGTTATTCACCGGCGTAGCTAGGGATCGACTATTCTCTTGCGTCTGTTAATTCGATAATCTTATATTCTTCGATTAATAATTACAGTTTCTTCTAACATGTATACCTATAAATGTGTTTCGTAACGCGCTCGATACTAGCGATATAGCTACTGATTGATTGCTGGTGTATCGCAAGGAGCGGTGGGGAACCGACGGGGAACCGCTTTAGGCGAGAGAAACTCTGGTTACGCCGTTGCTGTTGTTATTCGCGTTCGCTGACGATGATGATGCTGTTTGACGATAGCCATTGCACCCATGTGAAACAAAAGTTATCGTTTCATTCCAGCCGCCAGGATAATAGAGGCGATTAACAGAACCGTAGATCCTTGCCAAGATTTTTACAAATTTGCCTGCGGTGGTTGGATTTCCAGGAATCCTATACCGCAAAGTCAAGCTTCCTGGGATCAAATGAGTCATCTGAGAGAACAGTTGCTGGAAAATCTAAGGGTACTGCTCGAAGAATCAAACGACGATAACGATCTGCTACCGATCAAGTTGGCTAGAGCTTTGTACAGCACTTGTATGGACACGGGTAAGAAAATCCGATCGATCTTAATTCTTAACTCTAAATAACTAACACGCAAGGCACATTGGGTTCATCGTCGTTTTAGAGAGCGTCGAGGCATTGGGACTCGATCCCATCTATGAGACGTTCGATAGGCTCGGATTACCGAAAGAACCGCCATTGGGAGATGAAATTCCTCCGTTGGATATTGTCGGTATACTCGGCAAAGCGCAGAGAATTTTAGGTTTGAATCTATTTCTAAATTTTTTCATCAGCGAAGATATACTAAACACCTCGAGAAACAGAATTACGGTAAGCCTGTATGGATGAGCATTTGTTCGGTTAAACGTACACACAGACGCGTGCGCATCTAAAATTCTAATCTAGACATCGAACTAACTGGAACGGTTGTAGATGGAGCAGATGTCACTGGGACTTAGCCAACATTATCTGCTTGATTCGTTACGATTTCAGTCGGAATTAATGGAATTCAAGAAATATATAAAAGCAATGATCGAAATAGCTGGCGTAGGGAATAAAAGCATGGAATTCGCCAACGAAATCTTGAATTTTAGCAGCAACATTGCACGCGTGAGTATTACCATGTTTCCCCGATAACCGCGCATCTATATATCTTATGGAAATAACGCAAAAGTATGCGTTTGTTCAGATCATGACGACTCCGGAACAAAGACGTAGCGCAAATCACCCTGTTTACGATCTAACTATCGACAAGCTGCAACAGCTAACAGATTTGGACGTGCAACAGGTGAAGGAATCCAAGTTGACAAGCTTATGAACCCGTATAAATAATAATAGTAATAATAATAGTAACAAGAACAACCATAGTAATAGCGACACTGATTGTACGATGACGATGACGAAAAGCATCGATGAAACATCAGCTTTCTTCTTTCTTCTTTTTTCTTTTTTTTTTTCTAATCGATCCGTTTTAGTGGAACTGGACCAGATACTTGGATGCGGTGTTCGATGACACGAACGTGACTATAAGTGCCGAATCGGATCATGCGATCGTAGTGGATTTGCGATATTTGCAAAAATTACCCACACTGTTAGCGGAAACGTCGTTTTCTACGATAGGTACCACACACCTATATATCCTATCGATCGTCTTATTGCGGAATCTTACACGTGTATCGTGTATCGTTGAATCGATACGATAATCGATACGATAATCGATACGATAATCGTCGACACGTGTTGCAGTGCGATTCGTATGGTGGAATGTTTATGCGACGGTTGCCCCGTTGACGTTGCAACGATTTCGTGATCTAGGTTTCCAATTCTCGCAGCAAGTTTTCGGTTTAAAGGAAAAGACACCGAGGTGGAAATCCTGTACGGAAAACGTAAACCGAAACTTTGGCATGGCTCTTAGTTACATTTACACGCGAAAACACTTCGACGATCAAGCCCGACAAAAGGTTCGTGCAACGCGACTTTCTTCTTTTTCGTTCACCGTCCATTCTTATCTACGCAATACAAATTATATACAATACATACAATATATAAAATATATAAAATACGTACAAAGAGCGATATAGAAATATGGAGCAAAAGAGAGCAGACGATTTTCAGGCTTTGGAAATGTTTCTCGATATTAAACAAGCGTTCGACGAGATGGTCGCTGAATTAGATTGGATGGACGGTAATACGAGAGCTCAAGCTCATAAGAAGTTGAATGCGATGAGACCGTTTATAGGAATACCAGACTGGATTACCAATTCCGAAAAATTGAATCAATTTTACGAGGGTGTGAGTTATCTTAACGCTCTTGTTGAGTGTTGTCTAACTTGAAAAATTCCGTGCAACTTGCAATTCCAAGATGAATATCCGTTGCAGGTTAATGTTATACCAGCACGATTACTTGATGCATTTTTGATGTTAACTAACGTGAGAATTAAGAAAAGTTTAAACAGCCTGCGTGAAAAGCCGGACAAAAATCGCTGGATAACGTCTGGTACTACGGTGAATGCATTTTACAGCGCGATATTGAACTCAGTGAGTAAGTATACGAATGATGTTTACGAATATTATCCTGACGTTTCGCGGTCTCGTCACGCTCTAAAATGTTTCCCTA